TATAATAGAATAGAAAGTGTTAGAGTTAGAGGGTCAAATAAAGGAATACAAACACAAAACAATTATATATAAATATAGGTATGGAAAAAGTAAGATAAAAAAATAAGAATAAAAATAAAATGCGCAGGATAGTATACTGTAGACTTAATAAATATTTAGATGAGCAGGGATGTACAAGAGAAGAATGTGCAAACAGGTTGTACAGGGTAGTTACATAGCAGCAATAGGGGTAAAAAAGTAAATAAATAAAATATTGCAGAGATTGCTGTGTGCAAGTGACAATGTCAGTATATTAAGTGTCTTACTGATAAATAAGTGAAGTCATGTTGGTGTTAAGAGACTGAGTTTGAGTTTAGGAACTCAGGCTACGGAAGCGCTTACCAGATGGCAGCAAAATGAAAAGAGAGTTACCAGGGTGGTTGGAGTCCTTGATGATTTTAACAGCTCTGCTTTTGCAGCGTTCAATCATTTATCAATCTTTATCAATTTATTATTCAATATGTTATATGAATCTATAATACTGTGGTGTTGTTAGTGACCTAATGCTTGAACATTAATTCTGTCCTCTTCTAGAGTGAAGTTGGAGGTGAGAGTTGCGGGCCAAGTGTGTTGACACAGTTCAGGCTGCTTCACACTGCTGACAGGGCCTTCCGCCATCCCCCTCACCCATTATCTGCCTAGTGAAGAGTGATGACCTCACAGCAGCATGGGAATGCCAACCCTGCCCTCCTATCACCACAGAACTCTTCATCCAGTCAGGGCAGGCAACACATCTCTCGTTCCCCGATAGACTCGTATTCCCGCTCTGGGCTTTCCTCTCCTCGGAGAGGCTGGGTTGCAGCTTCCTTATCCGCAACAGCTCACGGTAACTCCCTTGCACTCTCTCTAAGCCGATTGGGTCCGGCGTCTTGCAGTAATTCCTCCTCATCTCGGAGACCTGCATCTGGCCGGGTGGAGCCGTGGCCAGAGGAGGCTGTGGACGACGCTTATGGGCTTTACTCTCTTCACCGCATGTTTGATATTGTGGGCGCGCAGCTGACGCACCGTGACGTACGTGTGCTGTCCTTCCTTTTTGTGGACGTTATTGACGAGTACGAGAGAGGAGGGATACGGAGCGGGCGGGATTTCCTGCTTGCGCTGGAGCGTCAGGGGCGATGTGACGAGACAAACTTCCGGCATGTTCTTCAGCTGCTCCGCATCATCACTCGCCATGACCTGCTGCCGTACGTTACGTTACGCAAGAGACAGACAGGTTTGAGATCTTGTCAATTTCACTTTTGACAGATGATTATTGTGTACAGTGAAGCTACAGTTTCATCACTCTGCAGTATTTTTTGGCAAGGAGCACATGTAATGTGTTGCTACTTATTTTCCAGTGTGCCCAGATCCAGTGGATAAATATCTGGAGGAGACATCAGTCCGTTATGTTTCTCCCAGAGGAGCAGGAGAGGCCCAGCAGGGAACTCCTCACAGAAGAGCAGGTGTGTCCTGCATTAGTTGTGATTTAGACCTCTTAATGGTGCTGTAAGCATTTTTGGTTTTGTGTTTTTTACTGAAATATCACATCTGTCACTCTGTAAACTGCAGAAATGTCTATAATTATTTGATAAGCCAATCTGAACTTTTGATGCACTGTCAGTAATTTTGTGTTTTTACAGTACAGCACATATATGGGAAACAGGAAGTTTGGGTTTTGAAATGGGCAGGGTTTTGGATTAAGGGCGTGTCTTAATTCAGTGGCTACTGGTGTGTTCAAGTCCTCCTTGAATTGTCGTGGCATTCATATATGTTCAACTCATAAATACAATCTTTCAGATGTGACTTGAACGCACCATAAGTTTAAAAGAAGTTCCAGAATGACAAAAGGCTTGAATACACTACACAATGTTTACAATATGAAAATATTTTAAATCACTAGGCATCATACACTTGCCGACTTTGTAAATGGTTACTACTCAGGATTACACACTACCAGACTTTCAACAAATTTTTAAATCAGGTCAAAATTAGTGGTCGACCGATACTGGTTTTTTGAGAGCTGATGCCGATATCTTGGAAACCAGGGTGGCCGATATAAAGCCGATATAATTGTATTTATTTTAATT